GATGCGGATTGCCTCTCCAGAATGCCGCTACCATCGACAGATTGTGAAGACGATAACTTCGACCACCTTATCGCTTCGCTGTCGTCTGGCTTTCCCGATGCCGTGACTTTCGCCGCTGAGCAGCGTAATGACCCAAGCTTGAAAGCTCTCTTCCCTGGAGCGAGAAATTCATTAAGCGAAGGCCGATTCTGCGTCCGAAATGGTCTTCTTTACCAGAGAAACGACGGGCGCCCGCTTTCTGCTGGGTGTTCCTGCGTCCCTCCAAACGTCTGTTCTGCGTCTCACGCATGATGACCCCACCTCTGGCCATCTAGGCACCGCACGAACACTTAGTCGCACGAAAGAGCGGTTCTATTGGCCGAAAATGAGCAAAACAATTCAGAACTACGTGGCCAGCTGTATGCAGTGCCAGAGCCACAAGCGGCCCTCCTCGGGTCCAGTTGGTCACCTGCAACCTGTAAAGCCTCCCGGTTCCCCTTTTGAAAAGGTCGGCATTGATCTGATGGGACCATTTCCACGCTCCTCAAAAGGTAACCGGTGGATAATTGTATGCGCCGACTACCTGACGCGGTACTGCGAGACGGCTGCCGAATGCTCCGCCATGGCAGTCCAGGTTTCGGAGTTCCTGTTGAACTCAGTCATCTTCCGACACGGACCTCCTCGCGTGATAATAAGTGACCGTGGTCGACAATTTACCGCTGATATTGTCGAATCATTACTTCGTTTGTGTGCCTCCAAGTTCCGACACTCAACTGCGTATCATCCGCAAACTAACGGTCTCACCGAGCGCACAAACCGAACTTTGATCAACATGTTGTCAATGTACGTCGCCTCTGACCACAAAAACTGGGATGAAGTATTACCGTTCGTCACGTACGCCTTTAACACGTCGAAACACGAAATGACAGGCTATAGCCCTTTCTATCTGCTCTACGCTCGCTCACCTCGACATACGCTGGACACTATCTTTCCTTTTGTCATCCATGACGATTTAACAATTGCTGAAACCTTGTGTCGTGCGGAAGAGACCCGTCGACTTGCCTGCTTACGTACACTGGCAGCGCAAGAGTCATCCAAAACTCGCTACGACAGTCAACACAGGCATGTAACCTATGCCCCCGGTGATCTAGTGTGGGTGTGGACCCAAATACGCAGGACGTGGCTTGAGCCAAAAGCTACTGGCACACTATGCCGGTCCTTTTGTGATACTCCGTCGTGTCAGTGAGGTCAACTACGAAATTGCACGTGTCACCACTAGTGGCCGACGTTCATGCAAGACGGAGGTGACGCATGTTGCCCGCCTGAAGCCGTTTACACCAAGGATGCAAGAATGACTCGCCCAGAGGGCTTCGTCTGAGAGAGGAGGAATGATACAAAGTATCACTACCGGGAAAAACAAGGGAAGCGTGGGCAGAGAAGGAAGACGACGTTGCCTCCACTGCGATCCCCCTGAGTGGGTACGAGCCATGGTGGTGATCATCATTAGACTGTGATCGTGGACTCAGGGCCCATTAAAAAACCCCCATTAATCTACCTCGCCTTGTGTAACAATTTGATTAGGAGAGATGCAGTATAGCGGAGGGCTCCAGGAATTTCGACCACCTAGGGTACTTTGACATGCACCCAAATCTGAACACACTTGCCTACAGCGTTTTTGCCTCCATCGAGAATGCAGCCGCCGCCGCCGGGATTCGATCCCGTGACCGTCGGCTCAGTAGCCGAGTGCCTTAGCCACTAGACCAACGTGGCGGGGCTGGTTGGTATTACGGCGAACAAAGAAAAACACACAAACGCATAGTTTTGCTATCTTATTCACAATGTTGTCGGTGGGTTTGGGGCACTCGCCGGCTATCCCAGACATTTCTTGAACCTGTCTAATGAACCGCAACTAAAACAAAAATATAATCACACTCGATATTAGTCGTTGAAGGGGTATTTTCTTCTCGCAAGGCTGTTAATTGGACGAGTTTTCTTCTGGACCAAACGATTTGCGTACAGGTGCAGCAGCGACTGCAGCACGGTTGCAAGTCGAATCCTCATGTGGACGTCACACGCTAGAAGGTGCCACTATAAGGTCCCGGGGCCCATACCATCGCGATGGCTTGCCGCGTTTCGGGTTTTATTTGACACAGATAGTACATCGTCTTGTTTGTTAGGTCCTTAGACGTGCGGAAGTCTTTTTCTCGTACGGGGCGAATCAAGCGTGAACACGCGAGCGTACGAGAGTGTCTACTTCCACCTTCAACACCGCACAGTGTGGCCACGGGTCATGGCTCCGCGGGACGCCTTTCGCTGGTACTTCGGAACTAGCGCGTAAGTGCAGTAACAGCTGTAGGCGGGGCCTTCGCCGCATCGTCTGCTAGAGTGCGGTGACTTCCATGAATCGCGCTTGCATTGCGGTGGAGCTAACGTCTTTCTAGCTATGCGCACGCAAATTAAGAATCAGCACGACGGTCGATACGCCCAGCGAGAGCGCCTCGTGCTGCCCATTGTTGCTTCTCGCGTCTTTTCTTTCCTTTGTTTTATGGATGTGGTAGCACAAGTAATAAACCTTGGCCCTTGCATGGGTAAAGTCTCGAAGACCGGTGGCATTCCCATAACTAACATACTTAGCGCTTTTGGGCTAACCAGAAGATTCCTACGATGAACATGCCTACGCGGTGTTTTAATTCTTACGTTTAGGTGAAGTGTCTTTACTCACTACAACGCCTCATGACTTCTGTGACAGCGACGAGAACAGTCAATAGCCTCTACCTAGTGAAAACTAAGCTTATTCAGGTAGTACCAGCAACATTTAATATTAGAGGACTATGTAATGCCAACAACATTGCAGCTAATATTCATAACGAAGAAAACAAATGAAAACAGCAAGAAGGTAGTGTGCGTGAGGTCGTTGGTCTTTGAAGTGCTCTCTTATGACTGTAGGTGTATGAGTCGGTGTTTATTGCATCAGAGTTTGATGGTTATACAATGGCTTCTGTCTGTTTTGACAGCTTAGTCATAACACAAATGAAAAGGCCTGCCTGTACGCTTATAAATGAGCTATAGTAATTGCTGTTGTCTCGACAGTGACGCTTAAAATATTTAAAGCTATCGTAGGAAATTGTAGTGCCGTGTTGTTCTGACAAGGCACCGCTATTACCAAACGTGCAGGTCATGATACGTACGCGAAAACAAAAATACTTCTACCACCACACTGACGTGATAAGCAGCTTGGAAGGCATGCAGTCGCGCACGTCAAGCCTCTCGCAGGTTATCCTCTGACCGTGGCCGGCACGTGAATGCGCGCATTTATAGAGGCGCTGTTCTACAGATCGCGGCTGTGCACTTTACTGCTCCGAGTGCGACAACAATGATGATTGAAATGCAACATCACAGCTCATTGGGTATGCTTAATTCCATCTCTCTGTGGTCCTGCTTCCGAAGTCGACTAAATAAAGGAACTATACAGGGCATATATGCTGTTTCGTTCACTTGTAAGAAATGCGCTGTCGACGACAAACGAGGGAAGAAATGTGGGGTTGCGGAAAAGGATATGTTACAAGTTAGTTCTTCATTTGTCACCTTCTTCTGCTAACTGTATGACTTGGCGCTTTTTTCAACTTTCTAATTGTCGACCATCTAGAGTAACAGGCTGGCCTAAGAATGCACCTCCAACTTTCTTTAGGTGTCTGTGCTTAAACTTTGGTTGCTATGAGAGCAGAGCTGTATTGAGAAGCGTTGAAGCAACTTCACACTGGAATACGTCTTGGATATCAATGTCTTGTTATAAATTTCTTGGGTCTCTAAAGTGCAACACTGTTTAAAAATTTTTAGTCAGATTTTAAATTCCGGGTATCTACACCAGAAGTTTCATAGCTTACCAATAGAATACGCCCTCATCAGACCTTCTTTCCTGTCTATGTTTGCCTTATGTGTGGCCGCTCATGCAGTGACTGTTTCGCCGACTTGGCTAGCAAAGTTTTGCTGTACAGGGAAGTGGTTTAGAATTGTTGAAGCAGTTCTTCTTTGAAATTCAAACATAATTGACATGTCCACTTGCTACGCATTTATCATGGAACCCCTGTAACTATGCTGTTATTTACCAACAACATAAATATTAAAAAAAGAAAAACTAATATCATTCGCTAAAACTTCAACAGTACAACTCTGTCTTGGTAAAACATAATCAATGAGTGCTGATCGCCGGCTTGTTAGTACTGCTTGAAATACGTAAGAGACCCGTAAGCAATATAGTGGATTGGCAACACCAGTGTTCATTACAGGCAACACTATTAAGTGCTCATTATTATTTGTCCAGTGAGCGCATGATTCGCCTAATAAGCTTTTTTGGTTTCTATTGCGATAGCTACGTGAAATTATTATAGTGCAATGACGGTGTGTTTTGAGTGCATGAAATATACTAGAGAAACACACGCACATCTCCTCACTATACATTATGGTTTGTACATGACTTTGTTTTTTTTATTTCGGACTATTCGTATCATGCAGAGTTTCGTACTGTTTACATCCTCGAATTGTGTGAATTATTAGGCATGCATACCCCTGACGCACCATATTTAAACGTCTAATTCGAAAGATGTTCATGTGCTACCACCTTAGGTGACGTTCGTTTCTAAATTTCATTTTATTTCATTTCATTCGTCGTACCCTCAGGGCTTTACAGCATTGCAGAGGGGAGCGGGCACTGATGAACAATGTTAAATAATATTAACAAATAATAACAAATAATAATGACCCTCGTTGAACTTGAGTTCGGAAAAGCTTAGAAAGAAGACAAGTAATGTAGTGATATTTATAATTAAAAAGAGTAATTCGAAAAGGCAATAAACCTGCAGTCAGTGGTTGCAAGCAGCAAAAAAGCAAGGCGTGCACTCACACGTGTGGCTGTCGCTTTTGTTTGCATATAGGTAACGGTGCTGTCATGCTACGACTGCGAACACTTGCATCCAGCTGACCCTTTGCACTATTCGCGTTGTCTGTTTGCAATAAGAATAGCTTTGAACTCTCCCAGATGTATTAGTAGGCACTGACGTGTCAGGAATGAGACGAAGTAGAGAAACGACCTTACTTGCATCAGACAACAGATATGGACATCTCCGCAAGTGAGACAACAGGTACGGTAAACAAGAATTTATTAGAAGATCTTGTTATACTGTACACAGCTAGAGACGCATCAACTGTCCGCGATCAAGGACAGGGGAACTAAATTTTTCCCAATATTCTACGTTCAAGAAAACAACTTTGACATGTGGATGTTTAGCAACCTGATTAGAACAATGGTTGAGATTAACTCTTCAGGGACGTCAGGTACTTGTTATGGCGACAGGTACATTCTCGGTAAGTTATTTATTGAAGTAACAGATGCATGAACTCTCACATATCTGTTATCTTCACTTCATTTTAATAATACACGAAAAAGCTGTCTGTTTAGAATGTTTTTGAAAACCAGAGTCGTGCCTAAAAAAATTGGAGTGAGATTACCGTGACAGCCTCCTAGTCAAATAATCATCGTTGTGCTAACACAAAATTGTATGGAAAAGGAGGAGGAGGAAGAATGGAGGAAGGACAGGGAGGTTAGCCAGTTCTCAAACCGGCTGGCTACACCGTGCTTTGGAAGGTGGTCAAGAGGTATAAAAGATGACCGAGAAGAGACGCTTAAGAAAAAAAAGGAAGATTGTCAACAATACCATTCACGACGCTGCTTAAAGTCTGTCTCTATGACCACTTGACATCAAGAAGCGCAACAACGCCCTCAACGCTTTGCGTGCCGAGGTCGGTCTCTGCCGGTGTCCTAATACCCTTTCTTCCGACAATTGGCGATTGTCAAGTCTATCAATAACTTTCGGACGTCCTTGGCACAGTGAAGTGAGGACACCCGAAGAGAAGATGGGAAAATCTCTCCACGCAGCCAAAGTTTTTGCATGTAGGGCTGTTGGCTATTCTGATTCAAAACGAATAAGCATTCGTAAAGACGATCGCTATCTAGAAACGGCACAGAAGTGTGTCTTCAGCTCTGGTTATTGCTGTTGGAAGGCGGAGCTGTAGGTGAGGGTTCAATTTATGAAGGCGGACGTTGGCAAATGCGGCCGAATTCCACCGAGTAAGTGTTAGTTGTTGTGCAAGTGATTGAAGCTTTGTAGCGGCGTTCATTCTTCATAAACGTGTAGCTGCACAAAGAGAATCATCGTGGGCAGACCGGGCTGCTTCATCTGCACTTACGTTACCATCGATGCTGCAGTGGCCTGGTATTCATCCAGATGCTTTGTCATGCAGTTTCTCTATAGCCCGGTGACGAAGCAGCCTTATTTCAGCAAATAGCTATTATTTTGTCCATGACGATATGGCGAGGCGATGCCCTGGAGGGCTGCTGAAGATTCGTAGAAGATTGACCATGCCTGCTGTAGTTCTTCTAACGGGAACTCCAGAGTGGCGCGATTGGCGGCGAGCTCTGCAGCCGTAGATGATGTGAGCTGCGATGACTTGAATTTTATTGGGACGGACTTCTGACCTACCTCTGCACCTGTCGAGCTTGCTCAAGTAGCTGACCCATCTGTGTAAATGTGAATGTGTCAATGCGGCCACCGTGTTTCTCACGCAGAAACAGTAGTGTTACTCGTTTTAAGACCAAAATTGACAAATTCCTTTCTTTTTAATTCCGAGAATGATTATCAGGGCTTCCAGGGAATGTAGACACCACAAAAGTAATGGTGGTCTTGATGTGTGCGTGAAGTTCTTGGGAATCACCGTGCGATGTGGAGGAATAATAGTTCAGAATGCAGAGCGTGGTCTGGAAGATAGAAGAAAGGTGAGGTGATGCGATTGACTCCGCGGGTGGCATGTCTTATGTGCGTTCCAAATCATCGACACGAACGTGGGTCGTGATAGGGTGTTCACAAGCGATTTCGACAGTCGCTGCTGAGGATGCGCGTCTCGAATGCCCGAGGCATATTCTCAGTGCTCAAGCTCCTGTTGACTAGAGGACACCTACGTTTGTTATTCGGGCCTTGCCAAGCACGGGCAGGCTGTAACACTGAAGTCGAGAAAAAGAGCAGTATACAGTTGAAGCAAGGCTCGTACCGAAACACCCCTTGATTTTTCCGCAAGAAACATTAGGACGTGGGTGATCGTGGTAATTTTCTTTTTCATGCGAGCAATGTGAGGGCTCCATGACAACTGACGATCTGTTATTACTCCCAAAAAAACGGAGGGTATTTTGATAGCTGATCGTGTGTCTATTATTTCTGGTGAGGTGTGGGGTCATTGTCTTGCGCGTAAACGCAACCAGTGAGCAATATGCAGATGAGAGCTCCGCTCCCCATTGTTGAAGGTAGCTTGACGTGAGGATAGCCGCTCTCTGAAGCCTGGCTCGAACGTGTAGGCGCTAGAGCCTTGATGCCCAGATGCAGATTTCGTCTGCGTAGGTCGACAGATGCACGGACTGTGGCAGGACGTTTACGAGGCCGATGAGCGCAAGGGTGAAAAGTATGGGGCTTATGACACCACCATGAGGTACGCCGTGATAAGTATGATGGTGCCTTGTTGCACCATCTTCTATCTGAACGAAGAAGATTCTGTCCTTCAAATAGCTGTAGATCCATTGGTAAGCGCGGCCTCCCAATCCAATGCTGCCCAAGGTGTCCAGGATGGTTTCATGTAGTACATTGTCACATGCAGCCCTAATATCTAAGAAAAGTGCCGCTGATAACCTCTTTAGGCTTTTCTGCTGTTGCATAGACGTGACAAGATCAACAACATTGTCTATGGAAGACCGTCCACGTTGAAAGCCGGTCAAAGCACTGTCAAGCTCGTTGCCCTGCATGTAGGTGAGAGGGCTAGCAAAACCAGGGTGGTTGTATAAAGTGACATATATCATTCTCTCGCACTTTAGAAGATGTGGCGTAATAATAAATTTTGGCAGCACGTTAGTTCTCACAACATATGCAGAAGGCAAGACCCCACTCCCTATATCGCTGTGCACTTGCCATACGATCGCGGACCATTATTCTTGGAAGTCGCCGCTAGCCGCTGTGTGAGAGGCACGCATTTAGCGAATTCGTGATTCTCAACCAGTCGTTTTGTTACTCCTCTTTCAAGCTTTGTGCGCTTGACGTGGTGCTGCCATACCCTGCGAAATGAACCCACATTTTGCAAAGCGACGGCTCCACGTCACGACAGGATACAACGTATGTGATGGTGTGCTCATGTGTGCGCTCATTTCGTGCTTTCACAAGCTTCCATTTGTCTCTGACTTTAACCCTACGCCAGGTGTTTACATCAAAGCATAAGGTTGGTACAGGGTAGACAATGTGAGTACTCATACCAGATCATTCACCTGCTCTGGTTTGCTAAGAGGCTGCGGTAGGGGAGAGGCCCACACTTGTAGAGTATTCTTATCTTTGCGCTATATTTTCCTTATGTTTATGTACGTTCGACGTGCGTTATTAGTCTACAAAAAGGTAACAGTGTGAAGATAACCACAAGATATAATAAAAAATCCTGACGTTTGTTCATCATATGATGTTACTGTGAAGGCAAATAAGGAAAACGTGAATAAATGGTAAGGATAACTTGTTAATACGGGATTGAAGACTTTTTCCTTTATATGCGAGCACAAAATCTGTGCCATAGTGCTGTTGATAAGACTACGTAAGCATCTATTTTGATTATAAATATAAGTTCAATTTTCTGCGTGTGCCAATTACAATATTGTCTTAAGGCACTCCGTGGCATAGGGCTCTAATTAATTTTCTGCACGTGAGTTATACATTCCACTCCGATAGGCCATGAAAGACGCATATGACCACTGTTGCTTGGGTACATATCATCATCATCATCATCATAATCATCATTATCATTATCATCTTCACAATCATTATCATCAGTTTGACTACGGCGACTGCAGGAAAAATACTTCTTCCATATTCCGCCAGTCAACTCGGTCCTGTGCTCTGTGCTGCCACTTTACACCTGCTAAATTCCTAAACTCGCCCCTAACTCTGTCACCCCCCAGCCCGCGTGCCTTCTCTAAAAATCTAGTCTGTGATGCGTGGGAGCATATACTGACAAGCTAATCTGCTTGCTGCACAGGGGCGGCATATATGTTCCACACATTGAGATGACTGAGCAATTCAACCGTGCTGATTCATTCAACAGAAGCCCTTGTGTTGTTTATTCATTTTTTCTCCCTCTCTTTTTTGTTCGTTTACATATTTTTATTAACTTTATTTCATACTCAGAAGGCCACAAGGTGGTATGGACAAGGGCGACTTGGCAAGTATTTATCAAACGCAGGCAGGCAGCAGCGTGTTTGATTGCGAAAACGAAGGCAGGAAGGTAGTTGCAGTCATTTCTAGCTCGTTGCAAATGAAGAAATATAACAAGAGCTTGTGCGGCTCAAGGGAGTTTTATTAATGAAGTTTTGAATGAACTAGGCAGATACAAAACAGGGCGACAAGAAGGGTCCTTTTTAACAAAAACGAATCTGTTAGCATTGAAAAGTTTTATTCTAAAGTTCTAAATGCAAGGAAATACCATGTGATTTAAGCTGGTAGAGTAAGGTTAGCTTTCATTATAGCAACCTTGCCTTACCGATAGTCCTTGAAACCCAAACAGTTATTATTCTGCGTACCTGCGTAAAAGTGTCATTTATCACTTACACTTGGCGGCTACTCTGTCTGTTTTTGTTTGTCCAGAGATTGAGATGAGCGTTAAACTAGAAAGATCTGAAGAATGAATAAAAAAGTTTACCGGTTCATTTAGAAGACCACCTTTTCTTTAACTCTCGAATTTAATAAAGCCATGCAAGTGTGAAAAATGGCCATAAAATGTAATTTCATTTATGGTGGCCGGGAACTCATTCATTATTTACCCTAATTCATCAAACATTGAAGCGAGCTTACATAGCTTATTCCAGGCGTCAAACTGTTTTTTAGTAAGTGTATTGCGGATATTCGTTCTCCTCCCACCAGCAATGTTCCGATGTGTAACTTCAAATGACTTTTTGTACATTCTCTCTTTAGTGACATATAACGCGTTATTTTTTGTTGAGTTCTTTCAAAGTTTGATGTTTCCTTACGGTTTTGTCGCGACACTCACCCTTTGTAACCCCCCTTAC